TATTCATATTGATTTGTGCTATTTCAATAAAGGTAAATAGTTTGAATAATAATACAATGAATCATCTGATTTTATTAACAGATTTTATTAACACTTACTCCACAACTCCTACTGGCAAACACTGGCCTGTTGATTTAAGAAGAATATCTTCATCACCATCCCTTTCATCCTTATCATCATCAGAGTCTAAGTCTAAAAGAAAATATCTCCATCTTTATTTGTTTAATCGCCATTTTAACGCATGGATGAGGTTTTTAGGGACAATATTTTCTATATTTACTCTCAAACTGAATAAACAGAAATATTCAGCATTAAAGAGAAAGTAAAACATTAACACAGTCTTCAACTATTTAAAAAACTATTGCTCCATATGAGAGTGCTTTATCCCTTCATAATCCAGAAATAATTTCAATCCTTTCTGTTTGAAAAGTCCACAGACCAGATTTTTTCTACTTCAGAAAGCTTTCTTCTGTTAAGTTTTTTAACCTAGAACAAAAGTTTTATTAAAGAAAATCACCTTAACCTTTATGCACACATGAAATTATATAAAGCATAATACCTCATTAACAAAACTTAGCACAAAACATTAATATAAAAAAAAAATTATTGATTATTCCTTGAAGTTCAACCTTTCCATTAAAATCCTCCACCAATTCAGTCTTGTATCAGGCAGATCTTTTTACCTGATATATCCTTGAAAGCGTTCCAAGACTCTCGTGGGTCCACCTTGAACCTGACCCAGATATACATCGGAAATATCAGGAAAGCACATATAATCACCTAGAAAAAAATGAAAGTCTTCTTACTCTTGTAAGGTTATTAAATTCTTCTGATTTTTATAATTAAGCTAATTTCTCCACATTATTGGGTGCTGATTTTAATTACGTTAACTGCTCATTAGTCTTCGACTTTCTCTATCAAATGCGTATTAAGATAAAAAGATCTAGTAGCTTGTATTTATTTTCTTTTGTATATTACAACTTCAGTTGTTTTGAAAAGTAAGCAAAGAACTATAAAACAACGACAAAACCTAGATACATAAGTTTGAAAATATTTTACAATATGCCGATTTACTGTCAAGCATTATACAAAAGTGGTTGCAGGTCTTATATCCAAGTTTGATTAAAAAAAGAAAAAAATATAATAACTGCAATGGTAAGCAACAAATTTTCAATAAATGAGTTATCCATGCATCAGTTCCATTTGAAGCTAGCTTTTCTAAACTATTTATGCACCAAATTGCATGATTTCGTTGGTTATGATTGTTTGTTTGTTATGGATTTCACGCAAAGCTACACGAAGGCTGTCTGCGCTAGCCGTCCCTAATTTAGCAGTGTAAGACTAGAGAGAAGGTAGCTAGTCATCACCACCCACTGTCAACTCTTGGGCTACTCTTTTACCAATGAATAGTGGGATTGACCATCACATTATAATGCCGTCACAGCTGAAAGGGCAAGCATATTTGGTGCGAAGGAGATTCGAATCCGCGACCCGCAGAGTGCTAGTCGAATGCCCTTTCCACCTGGCCATGCCGGGCATTCAAGCATTTCAAAGACTGTTATACGTTTAACACGTTACTCATTTTTTAACAGAGGGTTGTAATACAAAATCTAAAATTATTCAATCTTATGGATCCTAATGGTATAGAAACAAGTCTGTAGCCTGAAGTGTAAAGGCAGAAATAAATATGTGGTGAAATGTTATGTTCAATAAAATACAAATAAATCTTGCATGAAAACTTGGACATGGCAAAAAGTTTTAGAGTTCAAGGAAGTAATTAAAAATATTAACTACATGTATCCTAATTTCTTCATGTTAGGAATTACACAACCTGAAGAAATTAATTATGTCTAGCACTTACAAAGAAGACTTCAAAATAAATCTATGTACACCTTTCATCTATCGAATTGACAGAACATAAACATTTGCCTGCTAGGAATTACAAAGGTTTTTCTTTTAAGTAGAAACACAAGTACACACAGTCAGGTCATTAACATAAATTATGAACATAAGACTTGTATATGATTTGAGTTTCATACTTTTCTTTATATCCAATATTAGTAATAGTAACATCGGATATAAACAGCTCACGATGATGGAATGTGCAGAAAATTAGTTGTTTAGCTTCAATCACTGATGTAAATGGCCCTATGTTAGTTATTATAATGCCATCAGAATGAATGGATCGTGTATTTCATTTCAACAAATCAAAGCAGAGAAAAGGTTTAAGCATTTTTGTTTTTCTCAGACTGAAGCAATAACAATAATCACTATACAAGCAAAGATTATTCACAGCAGTAGGAACAAACAACATTAGTTTTACGTACCTTAACCCACTGCGGAAAGGTCACGACTCCCCAAGTCAGCTCTCGGACACGGATGTTTCCCAAAAACATGTTTGTCAGCCATTTCTGGCAACATGGATGTGAAAGAAAGATTCTTATTTTAAAGTCCGCAGCAAGCTCCACTGCAGTTTTATATTCCCACTCAGGACTTTCTTCATTTAAAACATCATACGCACGACATGTAGCTTCCTTGTAGCTCACATCTAGCACTCTGGTGGCCTTATCAGCAAATTCCCTGTCCAGAAAAAAGAAAACCTATAGTTGCTGTAAAGTCCAAGGTCAAACATTAATACAGGTCACCTCAAAACAGTACTGAGAAACATTAACTGTCTATAAAATAGCCATCATATAATTTTAATGTTAAAAAGACCTAGTTATTGTAAATATTATAAAGTGTCAGAAGCTTCCTAAAACATTTAACAAAGTTCTTTAATCCAAGATCTTAAATAATGCCATCAGCTTCACAACACTATAACACCAAACCACAGTATATTATCATTCACGTTTATATTTTTTTCAATTCTGCAGAATGTGAATGAGGTAATTCTATTACTTTCTAGCTCTGATCATGTTTCTTAAGAGCAAACTAAAATAAAACACGTGTATAAAGATTCTAAAAAATGAAAACTTTTAGTAACCCCTTTTTCATAAATATTTTTTATACCATAAACTTATAAAATCAATTCAGTTTTTTTTTTTTCACTGAAGCAAAGAAGCAATACTGCACTCACTTTTGTAATCTTTTCATTTCAGCTTTCAATGCAGACTCACTCACATAACTTTCTAGTCTCTCAAACATCATGGAAACAACAAGACCAAGGTGAATTGGCTGGTCTGAATGTCTCCACAAGATTTCAGCTAATTCTGACTTCTTTGTGCAGACAGCCCACATTATCAGTATTGTCAATGCCCTTCTCTCAGCCCCTGCATGGTCAGTAACATACATACCCATGGCATTAAGTGACAAGCCTTGGGGATCAATGTACTTGGAAAATCCAGTCAATATTGAGATAAGCCAGTTTAAATCATTTTCTATAAAGAGTCTACCAATCTTGGATATCTGAAAATAGATTCAAACATAGTATCAGAAACAGTAACTATCAAATTTAAATGCTATAAAATGCACACTGTACTTGGCACTGAGATCAAAGCTAAAGTGAAAATATCCTATACAACAGATCACCTAGAAATACTAACCATCACAAATTCATATACCCAAAAATTAAATATTAAAATAATTACATAGCACTGAATCACCAAGTTTGTCATCACCACTGTTAATGCCATTTTTAGCTCTAATTCCAACAATATGTTACAAGGTTCCACAGCTTAGAAGATTTGGGTTAGTCCTAAGTTCATAACTATATTAATCTAACAATGGAAATTAATCTGCATAATTGGGATGGGATGCATTTGCAATTTTCAGAAAACTGAGAATTTTTTTTTTAATTACATGTTGGGGAAACTCTTGTAATTTTAAGTTATTACACTTCACTGAAAAGGTAAACTTTAATTAAAACTATTGTGATTCTTTATTGTAAATATTTCATTACTTTTTATCTTCAACTAATTTTTTAAATGTAAGATAGCTTTCAAGGATTCTGGTTACAGACATGGTGGCCATACTGCATTCCAAAATTTATTCCTCAACCTTTTCAGGCAAAATACCAGATTTTTCTAGACCTGCATATGTGCACATAAAATACACATATATTTCTGCTTCTGATCATAATCTTACCAAGTTAATAATACTTTAACCTATAAACTATTACAAATGGTTATACAAACTTAAAAATACACTGATAAATGTCTTCAAACAACAAAGATGTTCCACTTATTAACATTGCCTTTTTTTAATAAAAGAATTTCTTGATTTTATTCATTGTCAAGTATAATGAATTGGATAATTATTTGTTTGTTTGTTTTGAATTTTGTGCAAAGCTACACGAGGGCTATATGTGCTAGCTGTCCCTAACTTGGCAGTAAAAGACTATATGTGCTAGCTGTCCCTAATTTGGCAGTGAAAGACTATATGTGCTAGCTGTCCCTAATTTGGCAGTGAAAGACTACAGGGAAGGCAGCTAGTCATCACTACCCACTGCCAACTCTTGGGATACTCTTTTACCAACAAAATAATGGGATTGACTAGCACATTATAATGCCCCCATGGTTGAAAGGGTGAGCATGTTTG